CCCCCCTCCCCCCCCCCCCCCCCCCCCCCCCCCCCCCCCCCCCCCCTCTCCTCTCTATTTGATATCGTTTGCTAACTATTTTCAGGGGGAATCTGAGCCCTTGAATGCTAACCACCACTCAAATTTTCATTCTGCAGTGCTGTCTGATGCTGGCTTACTAGCCAGCTGTGATTTCCCGTAGCCGAAAAATACGTATCCCCCTTCAAAGGAATTTACGGGCGCGTAAAGGAAAGAGTGGCCGCTTTTTCTCTGACTGTGCTATTGTTCTTTATTAGACCGGCTAATACTGAGATTAATGATAGGAAACCATGTCTAATCTTGAAAGCAGTGAATGGAAGATGAGCCTACTGAAAACAAATCAGTGATAATATGTCTTGATAAACTCTGTAAACAAAACATGAGACTTGAAGGTACACTGCTGAAAGGAGCAGCCGAAAACTCGGCAGCAGAATTATCCAATAAAATCATGAAACCTACGAATTTCAACAATTAGTTTACGGGGAAACTGCGCAACTGCCAAACTGGGCTGCATTTAATTCGCACCACCTACAGAACGGTGATAGCGTCCCCAACTTTCGTTTTGCGCATTCATTTTTTTCGCCTTTGAAATTTTTCCTCATTTTAGAAGGTGGATATTTCCGACATACCAAAAGTGTCAGCTTAATTTCGGTCCCTAACAACAGCAAGTTGATGTTGGCAACCCTGTATTTGCTACATCTCGCAATCTGCCGCAGTACCTAGTCACAAAGAATTAGAACAAAGAAAAAGAAAAAAAAGGTAGCGGCGCGCACCAGGATAGCGGCGCGGCCATGCGTTTTGCACAGTTCAGTCCAGCAAACGTTTGCTGTTAAGAATTTTCATTGCTTTACACTTTGGTGTGTGCAAAAACAGTCAGTTTTGCTATCTGGCCCCTAAGCTGAGAAATTTCCCACAAAAAATTTCGCGTACCGGTATGTGGAAATACAAGCGTATGTGAAAGCCGAATTTGAAACATTTGTATCTTACGTGGATGGGGAACATCCTTGCAAAATTTCAGCTTCTTAGTTTCCTAGCTTTCGAGTTAGTTACTTTCGCGCTAAAACTCACGTGGTCATAGGTGAAACCTAGGCATAAATGGGAGCTAAATTTAAATTTGCGAGATCCTTGAATACATATAT